GAGACAAGATGTTGAGAACGCAGGACAGAGAGGGGGAGAGATGAAGGTGAGGGTCATCATTTTGTTGCTACTGTCATTTGTTTAATTTAGCCCTTAGCTGAAAGACTAGCTGATTAGAGAAACTAAAAGACAGTACCACCATGCATTCTTTGTACTTAGGTGACTCAACCAGTGTGACACCGATTACCTTACAATGGGAGTAAGAAGTTTGGGTGGTACAGTACTTGCCCCAAAAACTATTTTCATACTTGTCATCTCCAACCCGGTCATTCTTTGGTTGGTCCAAAATGTGGGTCTGGTTGTGTGATACTCAGTCCAGGGGTCTACACAAGGCCCATTACTCACTCACATTCACCTATGAGAGTTTGTCCATGTACATACTGCAAAAAAGTGAAGCTAGGGAGAAATGGACACAGCGGGGAAGCTGAGGGGGGCATGAATTAAACATCACATATGGGTGTTTGGTGAATTTACATCATTAACATTAGAATGCTGGTTTTCCAGGAGAAGGGTCAAGGTAATGCAAGTAAATTGAGAATTTATTGGGGTCAAAGTGTTTATTCGTCATATGCACAGTTAGGAAACATGTTTCCTTGTACAATGAAATTCTTACTTTGCCGTCCACATGAATGCCACAAAATACAAATGAAATATAAAGTAGATGAATAAGTAACACAAAATCTAAGGCACTTTAAGCAGCAATATAATAAAAATATATAAGAATATAACAAAATGTATGCTGCAGCATGTGCAGCAGTCAACAGTCAATGTGCAATTATGCATGTGCAAACTGAGAATGTAAACCGTACATGACATATTTCCTGGTAATAAACTTTTTCAGTCTAGAGTTTTTCAGTCTAGCGGTCCTGCATTTCACACTTCTGAACCTCTGGCCAGAGGGTAGGGAGGTGAACAGTCCATGCTGGGGGTGGGTGGGATCCTTGAGGATGGAAGCAGCTTTCCTTTTTTGTCTGATCATTGTGGAAGAATTTCTACTTCTTTTTCTTTGACACATTGTATTTATTTTGTACACAATATACATTATTCTATGGGCAGCCCCCCAAGATCCCACAAGACCTGTGATTGTGACAAAAGCTATTTAAAAATAGGTCAGTGCAAACCATCACATGCAGAGAGTGGTAAAGGCTGCAGAGAAGATCACCAGGACTCCACTGCCCTCTCTGCAGAGCATTTACCACCGCAGGGTGTGTAGGAAAGCTGCCTCCATCCTCAAAGCTCCCACCCACCCCCAGCATGGACTTCTTGTTGTATTTTTATTGTGCTTCTTTCACTTGCTGCTTTAAAGTTCGTTAGATTTGTGTTATTACTCATCTACTTTATATTTCACTTGTATTGTGTGGCATTCATGTGGACAGCAAAGTAAGAATTTCACTGTACAGGGAAACACGTTTCCCAACTGTGCATATGACAAACACTTTGACCTCATGTTAGCTGCTTTAACCACACTGATGTGAAAGTTTGTCTTTCTTAAAAAGCTTTAATTTCACCAGTGAACTCTGCAATCGATCAGCCATTGTGCACATGTACAAGAAGGCATTTTAGAACAGCTAATGCTGACAGCTACATCAGCACACAATAGCTGAAAACTAAGGAAAGTTTCAAGTCTTTGCAAGTTTACTCATACCAAAACAACATGCTTTCAGTCAAATCGGGGTTTGGTCAAAGGCAGGGGAATGCATCACTTTAAATCCTACCAGCACAGTAAGAAATTATTCTTAAAACTTGTAGTAAGGACACTTACAGAAGGGAAGGAAAAAAAATTATCTATTGAGAAATTGGCTGAGAGATCGGGGACTGGCCTGTGGGAGGCTAAATGACACCTGGCTAACAGGAACCTTGCTGATCATGGCTTGCGTGCTGTTCTTTAACAGAAGATTGTACAATGGGATGGAGAACGTTATGGTGCGTTATGTACCTGACATTCTGTGTGGGGTTCCACCTCTCTGAAGGCAGCTCGCCGCTCTGTGGGTCATCAACTGGTGGGTGCAGGATAGAGATACACACATCTCCGTTCTAGTGACATAGGAAAATAGACCAGCATGTTCAGACAACATTTTATAACTACTTAAACACAGTTTCAGATTCAAGTATTACATTTAAAAACCCAGCAGTCTTATTCTCATATATGCCCTACACACTATTAACCAAGCCTATGCCTGCTTGCTTTCGACACCACCAGCAACAGGAGTTGTGCACGTTCATGAACTATCCTCTCATTTTAGGAAGAGGCTCTTTGGTTTTATCATTCTGAAATAATTATGAACTATTTGGAGTTATGAGAGGCGCAAAGCTAATCTAGAGATACCCAAGAATAAACATTAAATGACTGGAAAAGAGCATGCCATGGGGACTTTAAACTACTCATAGTTACCTCATAAATGTTGGGATGCCACATTTTGGTGAGGAAGCGGAAAGCAGGTGGAGAGTATGGGTAGTCGACAGGGAACTTGATCCGAGCCTAAGGGGAAAAGCCACATTAGTAATGTCAGAGGCAGGCGGCATATCCACACTTCTCCCTTGCCAACAGACAAGTCATGACTGCTTCCCTACAAGCTGTTACCATTTGGGAGAACCATTCCCACTGGTTAGGCAAACACAGACTGAGTAGCTAAAACCCAGTACAAAGCTAATGGTCAATCTCTTTAGTTGTACTCTGCACATCATTTTAGTGCACTAGTGGTGTTGTTTGAATTGAATCCACATGTAAGTTTGCTAAAAACTACCCCGCAGGGTTAAATGAATCCAGAATGCAAGTCTGTACAACACAACTCACATGTTGATTTGAGGCTAATCTTTTTTTGTATATCCCAATATCACAAATTTTCCTCATGGGACTTTACAATCTGTACTCTGTCCTTAGGCTCTTATACATGGCTTTTTCTTCAGAGAGGCTACTTTACTAGGTACACCTTTATGTAATTCAGTGGAACACTTCCACCATAACAGCTGTGTTTATGACGCTCAAAATGTTTGTTTTTGGTGAAACAGTCATAAATTCAATTATATAATTATTATTAAGGTCATGGTTAAAGGCAGTGTTGTACTGGATTCTATCATGTCCAGAGGTGTCTATTTTTTTAATCTTCCCCAGCTATGTACATGAGAGGGCCAGAATATTAGGAACACCTCTGAATATAATCTAGTCAAGTACAACACCACCTTTAACTATGACCTCAATAATAAACATATAACCAAATCTAAATATGACAATTTCCCCAAAAATTGAAAGCATTCTGAGCTTCATAAACACAGATGTTAAGGCGGAAGTGTTACACTGACTTGAATAAAATTGTACAGGTGTACCTAAAGAAGTGGCCAGTGAGTATGTTTTACACCACTAAATGAAGATCTCTACAGTCATGCTCAGCTTCAATAGTGAAAGAAAACCATACAGTAATAGCTGGAGAGTCGTGGCAGAGCATTCTGAGGTGGCCGAACACGGAGGATAGTGTAATGAGATCTAATGCGGAGGGAGGGAAGCTTGCTGTGCGTTCAGCTGCCAAGTGAGTGAAGCTTAGAGAAACATCGGTGGGTCAAGGGGTCTGGTGGTATAAAGACACACTCGTCACTCACAGCATGTGACCTTCTACTGATTCTCCTGACACACACACATGTTGATTCTGCATGGTCAGCTGGTCCTCACCACAGTGAACTGATGAGCAGGAGGATGAGATATCAGTGACATGGGAGCAGGAAGGGGGTGGAGTGGTGGTAGTGGGAGGAGGAAAGAGGGATTTCACTTGGAACAAGGGGAGCTGTGCTCTATATCACTATAGTGCTTCAGTCGTCCTTGACTGCATTGTGGCATTTAAATGGGGTTCAGACAAAAACGCTACAAGTGTGACCTACTATTCATCACCAAATCTACTGTTAACCATGTGTTAGAGCTGTGTTTCAGGGTCTAATGTTACTGAAGTGGGTGTCAGTATGTAGCAACCTCCACAACATCAAAACATTTTCTATGCTGGATAGTTAGCGTAATCCTGATTTACAACCAACATAATAAACCTGTTCATGCCATATAAAATCATTCCGAAGAAGAAACATTGATAGTCCATAGAGGAAACGCACTAAATCTTAGGGTCTGCCTGACCCTGCCAAATCTGTTCAGGCTGGAGTGAAAGGCCAGGCTGCAGCATTGGCTTGTCTTCCAAAACAGTAAAAGCATCAAGATCATATCTGTCCATTGGCTGAGAACTCAGCAACGGAAATCTTATTTCGTACATTTCTAGAAAACTCTCCCTCACCTCATGTCCAACTGACTGTGAAATGTCTGCTTTGAGATAACAGTGCAATGCCCGTTTTCTGTTGACCCAAGTAACATGAGCTGACAGCTATGGCGTCTGCCAGAGAGGATGCTTTAAACAGTACAATCTCATCAGTAGCCATCCAGCATTACAATTCACAAAACATTTCAATATTGGGTGGAAATGGTTAAAAAAAAAAAAAAAAAAAAAAAAAAAAGAAGAAGAAGAACCACGGAGTATTCGGTGAGGCACAAACGTATGCCAACACTTCCAATGGGCAAAGTGGTTTCATTTGTTTTCTGCTGCACTTCTGCTTTTCCAGCAGAACAGCGTGTGAATAAAAAGCTCCCCAGCAGCTTGAGATGTGAACATCCTAAATGTTTGCAACTATGGAATTTTAATAAAAACATTTAAGGGTAAAAAAAAAAACAAAAAAAAAAAACACAAAACATCACCCATTCTTTGACAAACATGTCTGTCCATCCACATGTATCCAAAGAATTCGGTGTTATCTTGGAAACAAAAACCAAATATAGTAGAAAACATACACTCTATCCAACTGTGAAATTGAAACCTTATCGACTCACTCAGCACTGCAGCTTTTATTGTGTAGGGACATCTTTATGCCAGTACATATTTGCACAAGAGCCTGTTGCTGGGAGACCTACACTTCCCATATAATAGCTTCATTCATCATGGTCACATGAGTCTAAATGCAAGCTACAAAGTAAAGCAGGAAGGTGGGGATATGCATTAAGGATAAGCATGGGCATTGATCCCTGTAAGAAGTTAAGAGCATGATTTCACAATGCATCTTACAAGGAGGCTTTAAAACAGTGTTCAAAGTAAGACAATCCCACAAACTGTATTCAAACAAGCAATGCAGACACCTATTTTTAGCATCACTTTATTGGAGACCATAAAACACTAACAATATAATATAATAAAACTTCATTGAACACAACATCGGAGGTCTGAAACCAAACCCTGGGTGGATGTTTTAGAGAAGTGCAACAGAACAGACGAGCTGCTAGGGTTGCTCACTTACTCCACAGCAGGAAGCAGTGTAATTCCTATTTCATCAGTACCAACCACACAAACACAAGAAGGGGCAGGAAGAAGAGAGGGGATGACACAGGTTGGCCTTAGGAGGCCAGAACCAGCTCTCTTTTGAGTTTCCAGGAAAGTTTCAAAGTAGACAGGTCAATAGATCTGTATCTTATTATATACACAAAACTTGGCCTATGCTGTGTAAAACTCATTTTCTACCCACTCTGCCACCATAACCTTTCTGGATCAAGGAGTAACAGTTACAGGGAAGTAACAGTAACAGTGAGTAACAGTTACTGCTTCAGATGTGGCGGCTCAACCCAGATCTCTGCCCAACACAGACCATTAGCCTCAGTACATTTGTTGCAACAAGCTACTGCTGGCTTGCATGTCTTGGCCAACACCGCCCACGGTCAACAGGTGATTTACTCCAAACAGCAAACATGACGTGCAGCCTGTTTTGAGGATGAGAGTGAGTGTACCCACCCTGTGGAAAATGACAGCAAGGAGAAGTAAACCAGGTCAAAGCAAAGATCCTGAACAGAGCAAATCATTTTTCTCCCTGTGCTCCTCTTTACCTTCTCTACAGACCTTAGCACACACAAGAAAGAAAAAAAAAAAAAGGTCCTTGCCCGACACATACAGCTCCCAGAGATTATCATGCTCAGACCCAACAGGTCTCAGCCTCATTAACTCAACCTCCTCAGGAGGAGGATGTAGAGGAGAAGGATTCCAGATATACTGCAACACATGGTAAACTCAAACCAGCCCATACAGCCACGTTTCAGGGGTGTGTTTACCACACTGGTGGCCCATACAGGAGGGGGAAAAGAACACAAGGCCAGGACTGCGGGAGATAGTTACTGCTGTCTACTAGGGCCTCACATTCACCCCTACTCACAGCAGGCTCTCCTTTCAATGAGGCACCACTGCAAAGAAGAAGAAAAAAACCCTTGCTCTCATTTCTCTGTGACACAGCCAGAGGGGGAAACATGACTCCGGCAGCTCAGCCAGGCTCGGCCCAACCCAACCCTCTGCAGCTGGGTTGGGTCCTCTAGGCTTTACCCCCCAACCCCCCTGTACGGATAATACATAGCTAATATGAAGCCTGTACAAATCAAACAGAATGCCTTGAGGAGAAACGAAGGCAGGCAGAAACAGAGTCAGCCACTAAGAAGCTTTAAAAAAAAAAAAAAAGGCCTTCTCAGACCATGTTTTGCCTGTCAGTTGAGAAAACCTTGAGATTTTCAGAAACCCTATTTACATCATAATTACATGCAACAAAAAATTATAATTAAAGCTACGCTGTGCTGACACAGCAGTACAGTACAAGTTCCCAGATCCCAGGCCCTTCTACAGCACAGCAGTCCTGCATCACTCTACATATGCAGCGTAGTTTCTGCTGTACATCATATTGTGAAACCACACAGCCAGATGACTTCACAGCTGTGGATGTAGTGTCTTTTCGTGTTGTTCTGGTGCATGAAACAAAACTGAGCAGGCAACCTGCCAAACATGAACTGACAGTCTCTAGGGTCTCTGAAAAAGCAATGTCATAGTTCTTGAGCAGAGTTTATGGGCCTAAAGTATGTCTTTATGATGGGCCATGTTGTTATCCATATAAATTTAATGATATTATGTTTAGAATTGACAATTTAAAAACTATCACAAATGCAGAGTTCAATAATGACTAAAAGCTGAAAGCAATTTAAAAACTATCACAAGAGTTCAATAATGACTAAAAGCTGAAAATCTAAGTAAATTAAAGTTGGGTTTTTTTTGTGTCTGTAACTGGTGTTTTGACTTATACACATTTGAAACACAATAAAGAGCAAAACTAAAGAAGAACTTCAAACGTCTGATTGTATGTACATTTCTGTCCTTTATGCCTTGTATGGTAAAGCCTATTGGTTATCGCCTGTTAGGAAAGTATGCTCCTGAGCTCCTTAGAAATACAGCAGCTATTGTTTGATGAGTCACTTGATTTGAACTGGGATCATAACAGTAGTTCTAAATTACATTGTTTTACACCTAAAAAGTGCTTTGATTCACTTACATCCATTTTGATCATTTAATGCAACTTTACTGCAGGCAAATTCCCAAGGAGCCTGAAAGAAAAGCAGATAGCTGCTCAGCAAATACCCACTGTGAGCAGCCCATTGTAAACAGGAAGCATCATTATTCCTGACAAAATGCTGAATACGTGCAAGTAAGTTGTTGTGGTTATGAAGTGATGTTGATGAAGTAAGACTGCGTTATTTAATAGAAAAATCACAAATCTGACATTTTGAACTGACATTATGTTCCTGGGGTCAGGGAAGTGTGCAAAGAGAAGTGAAAGAAAGAAAGAAAAAGAAAAACAGTGGAGAGACTGACTAAAAAACACAGCTATAAAATGACTAGCACAGTTGATGGTTCACAACATGGTCATCCAGTTGAATTGGACTATAAAATTACAGAACCTCCCCATTAATTTTAATTATACAGTTATATAAAAATTTCCAACAGCCCTATTTTAAGGTTTCATATTTAAGGCTCAGACTACATTTGACTAAAGAAGACAGTTTATCATAAACTCAGCTGCTCTGCTTAATGTACTGGCTATAGAACCAACTCACATCAGACACCCAGGGCCTGGAGAAATACTTCACAGGACAAAGCATTAGACATACAAACAAAAGGTGCTTAGGCCAGGAAACATCTCAGAACCAAGGGAGAGCTCCGGCATAAGGGCCTACTGTGAGACCAACATGTCAATTGTAAACTTATTATGATAAGGTAGTGTGTTTATGTATTGTGGATCTAGTTATCTAATGGTGTTTCAATATTTCAAGTAATCTCAGTCCACTGTGCACCTGTAGTCATCATGCTTTCATCCTGGTGTGACTCTTAAAGAGCAACACCCATGTGAAATAAATATCTGACTCAGCCGAGTTTTATGTCGTCATTACTTGCTTTGTTTTGAAGGAAAAGGCAGCACGTCAGAACTACTTGGTTTCTTGGGTAACCTGGTCATAACAGTCCCCCCCCCCCAACTGGAATATGGCAAACTGGTCGGATAGAAACCCAGCACACTACGATGAGTCACAACCATGCGGTGGCTTTCACAGCCAGGCAGTGCATTCCTGGCCCGACAAAGGAATCCTGTACACAGCACACACTCCGATATACAGAACGCTTTCTACAGTAGCCTGGATGGGGCCCTGTGCTTGGGTTCACAGGCTTGAAAAAGACCAGAGGGAAAAAGAAAAGGCTTCTCAAGAACAGGAATAACAAAGCACTGTACTGTACAACTGAGGTGATATGATATGTTGGATAATCAGTGGGAGCCATTACTGATATGGAGACAACTACAGTTAATGTGGGACATACATAATGAGGCCGTGACAAAAAACCCTTGTACAAGATGACCATGTACAGTTTCAGCAAGTTATTTTTGTTGACTACATTCAATCTTCTTTCAGGGCTCTAACCTATGCCCGTTCCCTTTTTTTTTTTTTTAAAGATTGTGCCAATTTAATAAAAGCTTATTATCTTTTGTTTGGTGTACAATAAAATAACTATCTAGAGCAAGCTTGAAGCAGACCTAGCAGGCTTTTATTTGACTATGACAGACAAATTAATAAACCAAA